CTAGTAGTAGTTTATTATTAATTAGTATACTTATTAATACTACTACGACGAGTATTATTATATATATATATATATATATATATATATATATATATATATATATATATAAAATAAATTTAAAAAAAAGAAAAAAAGAGGGCTTTGAGTACCTAAACACCTAGCTCGGATGGTTGAAAATTCGGGGTCAACAGGTAATCCTAGGGCGTGAATTTTTGTCAGGTTAATCCAAGATGTATAATCAAGACAGACATTTTGCTTCTATGGGAGTGTACAATCTTTTCAATTTTCTTTTTCATCCCTAGCCACTTAGATAATTTACTAACACTAATGGATGGACGATCTAGATGTTGTTTTATAATATAGAAAAGAGGAGTTTGGACCATTAATGATTAGATACTGATTCAATGGACTGTGATTTCTGATAAGTTTGATGCATTACTTGTTTTTGGCCTCTAGTCTACAACCGAAAGTTGAGGCTCATTTTTTGGGTAAATAAAGTAAGGCTCATTTGATCTTTCATTATATAGGTTTTGATATTAAAATATTTGGTTAAAGAAAAAAAAAAAAATCACAATCATTCTCAGCCATTGGATGTATAATAAGGCATTGGTTCTTGCTATTTTCCCATACAAAGTCTACGAAAAGTATCCTCAGACTTTGAGCTCAATTAATGACTCGTTCCGAGCAACTGGAATTCTAGAGGTGATTGTGTACTTTTTCTGATCTAAGTAAATGGTTTTATTGTATATTTCCCTATAATAGCATGAAAACAATTGATACAAAATGGTTTTCTTAGCCTCAACTCTAAAACACAAAATAAGGCTAAGAGAAAAGATCGTTACATATAAGATGGTAAGCCTTATCTAAGATGTTAGGCATTTATCCCCAATTATGGTAAATGTTCAACAAGAAAAAATACCTCTAAATGAGAGAGAGAGAGATATTTTTTCGAGCTCGAGAGACAGAGAGAGAGAGAGAGTTCTTTCAATTTACCTTCACATTTCCGGACCCATTATCGCACACAATAGCTTGGGTTTCTTCAAAATCTCCCATTAAGTTGTGTGTGTGTGTGAGAGAGAGAGCTCTTCAAAACAAATAGGAGAGAGAGAGAGAGGGAGTGTGTGTGTGTGTTGGTTGGATAGAGGAGCCCAAACTTTGAACAAAAGGGCCTGAGAAAACTGCAAATTTATGGTTGTAAAGTCACAAGGCAAGGAAGAGAAAGGGTTGGGTTTTATATAAGAGAGGAAAAGGAGGTAGGGAAAGTTGAAAAAGATGTGTTTTTCTTTAGGAAGGAGGCCATCGATGAATCTTTTACATTCTTTGTGTGTTTTGTGGAGAACTTTCGGTTGCCTTAGGTATCAGCCATTGAGGAGGGTCGGAAAGGTATTGTCAGGGAAACTGCATTCTTCTAGTGGGGTCCATATCAAGGAATAAACCACTAAAGGGTGGCAACAGGTCGGGCCGGATCCGGATCTGGATCCGGATCCGGACCCGGACTCAAAAAAATTTATGGGACTCGGACCCAACTCGACCTAAAAATAAAAAATAATGTATGTTTAAATATTATATTAAATATATATATATATTATTTAAATATTATAACTAAAACATAGATAATTATATCTATTTAAAGCTTGGAGGTTGTATAGAGGTGAGGCTCTAAACAATCAAAGTAAAACTCACCTTTAAATAGTGTCGAGAAATGTGGTCTCAATATTAGAAATCTTTGTAATAACCTTAAAATATATTTTCATCTTTAACTATCAAATTTAAAACTTCAAAAATAGTGTAGATCAAGCAGATCTATGAAAACTTGAAAACCTTGAAAATTGACAATCCAAAAATGCCCTAGAAGATGCACTATTTCTAAAACTTGAAATCCATTTTTTTGTCGTGCCCATGCATCATGATGTCGAGATTATCAATTTGAAGATATTTGGGCATTAAAAGGACATCTTCTAATGAATTTTTTAATATGGGTTGTAATTTGATTGTTTAGAACTTCGAATTTATATAAACCTTTTTCTTATTTAAATATTAATTAAATATTACTTAAATAATAACACTATTCAGATCGGGGCGGGCCTGGGTGGATCCATATCTGGACTTGGACCCGACCCATCAGATCCAATTTTTAGACTCATACCCGAACCCGAATCAGATCCAATCTTCGGTCCAGGTCCATTGCCGCCCCTTCTCTCGCTGACCATTCGTAAGGCCTATGGATTATAATCGTTGATAGTCCTCAGATTACGTTCACTTATTAGTAACACATGACTGGAAAGTTCTAAGTTAATATCAAAAAAGAAGGCCTAATGGGTATTATAAGTGTTTAAAAAAACCAGTGATTTGTCTCAGGAAGCTGTAGATTCGAGGTCGGCTGTGTTGGTACTGGCTTAGTCCTCCCTAAAGTGCGCCTTTCATTTTCTTTATTTCTTTTTGTTTTTTAAGTTTACATGATACTTTTGTAGATCCCCCTAAATTCCCACTCCCATAAACGCCAACTATTTTATTTTTTATTTTAAAATATTTTTTTGGATTGCTGATTCATGATGTTCTAGATCGGCAATTTGGCAATCCAACACGAAGTTGTAGGATAGACGATCCACCCTTAGGTCTTGAAACATTGGATAAAATATTCATGCGAGAGAAAAAGGCCTACAGGATATTAAATATATGAGATTATATACAATGAGACCATTTATCTTTGATACAAATAGGTCACACTTATTTATAATCATCCGATGTGAAATCTGATAGATTGAGTGTGTCACAACGTTTAAATTTTTTTTTTTGGAAGTTTTTGCATAGTCAATGAAGTAAATGCATCGATTCAATGTCACATCCAATGGTCAAAATTAATTGTGACCACTTTGTACCAAAGGTAAATGGTCTCATTATATACTTTTCCTAAATTAATCTCATAGAAAGAAATATTTGAGAAAAATCTAGAAAAAGAAATATCACTAAAATGCACGGGGTTTAGAACAGGGGTTTTGAAGTAGCAAAATACCAAAATACATATATACTTTTTTTAGTTATTTTTCTAGAGGTTTTAAAAGCACAAAATCATGTATGATTCGACCAAAGATCTTAAAAAAAAAAACTCATTTAAAAAAGGAAAAAGTTTAAGGTTGAGGCCTCAAATAATCAAATTAAGGCGCACCTAAAAAATTCACTAGACGAGATTGTCTCGATATTGAAAAACGCTCCAATCAATCATCTCGATCTCAAGATGTATAGATATGAAAAAAACTGGATTTTAAGTTTGAAAAATAATACATTTTGGAATTCATTATCTAAGCTATCAATTTCTAATATTTTCAAGTGTTTTTAGATTTGCTCGATCTACACTACTTTTTAAGCTTTAAATTTTATAATTAGAAATAAAAATATATTTTTAGGGATTTAAAATATTTTTGCTATTGAAAAATCATCTTTGGCCATTATTTATAGTTGTGCCTTACTTTGATTGTTTAGGGCCTCAACCTTATACAAACCCCACCATTTAAAAAATCATACATGGTTTTTCGTCCAAGATCCCTTTTTTTATTTGGGAGTGTTTACAAAGAGATCATTTATCTTTTGTATATATAGATCACTATCATTCCCACTCATTAAATGTTAAATTCGATAGCTTGGGGTGAGTCACGAGGTCCAAGAGTTTTTTTTTTTTTTTGGATTTTTGTTTCTATTCAATGACACTCTTACAACAATCCATTTTAATATTTAAGGGATGGAAATGATTGTGATCTTCATCTACAATAGATAAATGGTCTCGTTGTAGACAATCCCTTTTTATTTTTGGAAGAAAAGTGGTGTATGAGTTAGGGGAGGCATGCAATCCATTGATTGTTTAACATCCATCTCCAACATCCATCTTGGAGATGGACGTAAGAAAAAGAAGACTTTATCAGTTTTTTAAATAGAGGCTGTAGAAAAATTCGAAAATAAAAAAACACTTTGAAAATTAGAATTTATTAATTTATTTTGAAATTTAGAATTAGTTGATTTATTTCGTAATACTTATGATCACTATAGCCTAGATTATGGATTTCTAACTTTTTGGATCCAAAATCCATGTTTAATTTGGACTTTCGAGGGGATGTGTTTCTAAATATGAGTCCCTTGACTCATTAATGAAAAAAGCTTTGAATATTTTATATTTGTAAAAATATGAAATATATGTCCCCCTTCATATTTTACCCTTAGAGTTCTACATTTTGAAAGCATATAAGAGTATTTTATTTTATAAACACCAGATTGAGTTCAACTTTAGTATATATACTTTTTATGAATATCAGATTAAACTAAAATTTGGTATATTGATACATCATACACCTATAAAAAATTAAAAATAGTTTAAAATAAATAAAATTACCCAAAATAGCATTGAGTATTATATGGGTTATTTGGTGTGTGATAGAAAAAAGTATGAACATACCAAATTTTAGTCTAATGGATAGAAAAAAAGATAAAATTAAAATATACTTTATGCTCTAAAAAAATTGGACATGAATATAGACTATAAAATATATGTGACCTTTTTAAAATTTTAAAAATAAATTCAGATTTTTCTAAGTTGCCTTAAGTTCATTTGGCTTGAGTAATTCAAGCAGCTCACTTACCAAAGTGCCTTTATTTTTTAGGGTTTCAAACACCCTAAACTTGGTTATTTTCTAAATTGGGCTATTTGAACATTTTTTTGAAAACTAATTGAACATGTACCCAAGTGAAAGGATTTTTAAAAAGTGAAAATAAGGAAGAGTAAATTAGTTGACTTAACCACATAATTTGGTTTTAATTCTCCCACAAAAACATCATTTGGTTTTGGGTGGGGTGTATATAAGGCAACAACTTTAAAGAATTTAAGTAAGACACATTCTCAAATATTGCCAGAAGATGTAGTTCTAGTGACAAAAACATCTACAATGGCCTAAAAATCTATTTCTACCCCCTAATTATGAAATTTAAATTTTTTAAAAGAGTGCAATTCGAGTAGATCTATGAATATTTGAAAATTTTGAAATTAAACAATCAAGATAGTATCTTACAAGATGTGATAATTTTCGGACTTGAAATCTTTTTTCTCTCATATTTATATATCTCGAAGTTCAGATGATTAATTTGAGGGTTTCCAACCTAGACACCTTTTTCAGTATGTTTCTAAGGTATGCCTGTTGAAGATGATGCAAAATAATAGGAGATTTGAGGTACGTGTCTTTCTTATCTCTCTCTCTCTCTAAGTGGATGCTGTTGAGAATAATGCAAAATAATAGGAGATGTGGAGTCGTATCTGTATCTTTCTTTTCTCTCTCTAAGTAGAATCATGGGTAGTTATTTTATGGGAGTTATCTGATCACGTAGCTTTGTGAGTAATGGGTAGTTGGAGTTATCTAAACACGTATGCTTTGCGAGTAGTTATCAAATCAGGTTTGTGAGTCGTGAGTTGAGTTGTGGGTTGTTGCATAACTGTTGTAGATACCTATAAATGGGTATCATGTAATGAGATATGTGCAACCTCTAACCTGTGAATGTAATCAATGTATGTAACTTGTGTGCAACTAGTGGATGTAATTGTTACTTAGGATTTTCAAGTGTTTTAAGACATCACACATAGTTGGGGAGGGTGGGTACTCGAGTGTGACGAGGCTGAGGTGCGTGATTTGTGCAAGGCGTTGACATTGTGTGGGTGAGCCTAGCTCGAGCTGACCTATGGACCCTCGATGCGTTGTGCCTAGGCACACACCTCGGTGCTCACCACCACTATCGGGTGGGAGTGCCTAGCTCATGCTACCACTAAGCACTAACGGCGTTGTGCTTAGGCACACACCTCGGTGCCCACAAAGAATACTGCGTGGGTGTGCCTAGCTCGGCTACCCGTTGGCCCTCACTACACTGTGCCTAGGCGCACACCTTGGTTCCCGCTACTGATACTATGTGGGTGTCCCCTGCTCGGCTACCCTTGGGTACCCGCCGCGCTGTGCACTTAAACTCACCTCAGAGCGGTCCACCCATACCGCATGGATGTTCTCACCTCGGGCTTCCTGGTACCCCTCGCTGCTCCGTGCCTTGATGCACACCTCGGTGCCCCCCATCTAAGCTGTGTGCGTGTTGCCCCTGGCCCTCGCGACATCGTACCTAGACGCACACCTCGGTGCCCACCACCCACGCCACACAGT